CGCTGATATCATTTTGATCTGGGCTTCAAGGAACAGGTCTGGCATGATATCAAGACCCAGATCTTTCTCTCTTCCTGATTCCTGAAGGATTTCTTCTCCCAGCTGGTACCTTGTGTTTGGCTTCCAGCTCTCTATGCCTATCTTCATCACTTTGCACTTGCTCCAGTTAAACTCTAGTAGCCATTTGTTGGGCCATTCCTTCGGTCTATCCAGAACATCTTGTAGTCTTTTGCTGTCCTCCTCTGGCTTAATCTTTCTCGTATTTTTTACGTCGTCAGCAAACATTGAGAGGAATGATGTATCCTCTGGGAGATAATTTACGTATATCAGAAACAGGATAGGTCCGAGTACAGAGCCCTGTGGGACTCCGCTGGTGACATTACGCCTTTCTGAGGTCTCATTCCCTCACAGTAACTCTCTGCTTCCTGTTGCTTAGGTGTTCCCTTATCCATTGGTGCACCTTACCAGTTACTCTTGCCTGTTTCTCCAATTTATGCAACAGTCTCTTATGGGGACTTTGTCAAAAGCTCTCTGACATTCCAACACCCAGAGAGTGGTATGAAAAGTGCTTTTGCCCCCTCTTTAAAGCATCCATGTGAGATTCCATCAGGTCCAACAGACTTAGTCACGTCTAGATCTAGCAGACACCTCCTAACCTCGTTTCTGGTAATTTCAGCGTCTTACAAGCCTGCCTGGTTTATCGCCTCCCCTCTTAGTTCATGGACTTCTCCTTGCTCAATTGTGAAGACCTCCTAGAATCTCTTGTTGAGTTCTTTACACACTTCTTTGTCATTCTCTGTGTCCCCATCCTCTCTCTTTCTGAGTTTCATCAGCTGTTCTTTCACTGTTGTTTTCCCTCCTGATGTGGTTGTATAGCAGTTTTGGTTGGGTCTTGGCTTTATTGCTATGTCATTTTCAAACTGCCTCTCTGCTTCTCTCCTCACACTGAGGTACCCATTTCTGGCCCTCTGGTCTCTCTCTCTCTCTCTCTCTCTCTCTCTCTCTCTCTCTCTCTCTCTCTCTCTCTCTCTCTCTCTCTCTCTCTCTCTCTCTCTCTCTCTCTCTCTTTCTCTCTCTCTCTCTGCTCTCTGGTGTCCTGTTATTCAGTAGTTTCTCCATGCCAGGCAGGCTTGCAGGGAGTCGGTCGGCCGAGCGGACAGCACGCTGGACTTGTGATCCTGTGGTCTCGGGTTCGATCCCGGGCGCCAGCGAGAAACAATGGGCAGAGTTTCTTTCACCCTATGCCCCTGTTACCTAGCAGTAAAATAGGTACCTGGGTGTTAGTCAGCTGTCACAGGCTGCTTCCTGGGGGTGGAGGCCTGGTCGAGGACCGGGCCGCGGGGGCACTAAAGCCCCGAAATCATCTCAAGATAACCTCAAGAAGATGCCCTTGTGCTTACCTGCCTCGCTTCCTTACCTGCCTGATTGAACCACGGATTCCCCTTTTGCTTTTCATTTTTTCTTTCTGTGCCGGGATGAACCTGTGTTCTGCCTCCTGGCACCTCTGGGCGGCGTAGGCCACCAAGCCTTGAACAGACTTTTCACTTAAGTTTGTCACCCAGGATATTCCTATTATAAATTTCCTAATCTCATCATAGCTTCCCGTCGGTATTCCAGCCTTTTGCTTTTTATCTCCTTTGCTGCCTTCTGTGTGTACTCACCAAGTTGTGCTTGCGGGAGTTGAGCTTTAGCTCTTTGGTCCCGCCTCGCGCCAGAGACCAAAGCTCCTCAAAAAGCAATATAATAAGCTAGCAAGAAATTGTCAATAGTGTTAATAAGTGTCATTGAATGGCATCGTTGCCCAGCGGTTGGACAACGCTAGCAATCAGTGAACCACTAGCTAGGCCTCTGACGTCATAGCCAGAGGGCCAGGGGGGGGGGGGCTGCACGTAGGCCTGCACCTCGGTCCACAGCACCAGACTAGAGCGTGTTGTCGTCGTTAGTGTGGTCTTTGTCGTGCTACAAACGACTAAGCTCTTCCTTCATCCCCCACGGAGATGAGGCTGCCAAGCTATGAAGCCTGTGATTCGAATCCCGCACGCACGAGGCAGAAACAAATGGGCAAAGTTTCTTTCACCCTGAATGCCCCTGTTACCTAGCAGTAAATAGGTACCTGGGAGTTAGTCAGCTGTCACGGGCTGCTTCCTGGGGTGTGTGTGTGTGTGTGGTGTGGAGAGAAAAAAAAAGTAGTTAGTAAACAGTTGATTGACAGTTGAGAGGCGGGCCGAAAGAGCAAAGCTCAACCCCCGTAAAAACACAACTAGTAAACACACACACACACACACACACACACACACACACACACACACACAAACAACATGCACACAAAGAGATACACAACATTTTACATTTAATTTAAAAAAAAATATTACTGAATATGCTAATCAATTTTCCAACATTAGCATCTAATTTTCCGCACTGAGCCGTTCAGCCTTCCCGTGGACCGACGTTAAGAATATTAACAAGAATTTTTTTGCAAGTCTTAAAGTCAAAAGTCTTGGTATTTCCAACTGGGGAGTTAGTGAGAGAGGATTAAAAAACGAACTGAAGAAATTGCTGTAATTATTTTGCAATTTCAGAGCGATTTCGCTAAGTGTTGTAAAAGCCTGGGTCGTTCCCAGAGCCCACTTTATCAAGGGCCATTCACAGATGGGTCACTGTATCAAGGGCCATTCCCAGAAAGGCCATTGTACCTATGGATATTCCAGAGGGGCCATTGTATCTGCCGGCTAAGTTGTATATTGCTTTTGGTTCAAGATTCACTTATTTTGACTTAAAGTGAACGCTCACATCTTAAGCATAAGCCGAAGGGTCAAGGGTCAAAATGTAATGTCAAGATATTTGGCAAAATTTTAGGTTAAAATATTAATAAACTCAATTTCAAATTTGTAATTAATTGTGTTGTGAAGATGAAGTTGAATTTTTGGCTGTGGGGTATACAATATACTGTGATTATATAGTATACTATATATACTTGATCAACCTGACGTCAGATGCAGTGTCTGTCAGCCTGAGTGCAAGAGTGCAAAGATGAGTCCCCACATCCGTCTTGAAGATTAGTTGGAGTTGTAAATATTTCTCAAGACTAAAACATTAAGCTTGAATAACATAATACAAATACCTAAATTACCTCATCACCTTTTTGCAGTTATGTTTCTAACTTACAACTGTAGTGGTGCTGTAAGCAGTCTGTATTTACATATCAAGTTTGTTTATGTAACAGTTCAAAACTCGGGTGTAAATAACAAATACAAAGATACAGAATCGTATGATTGCAACTGTAATTGCATATTGCAATTAATTTTTAATTAGCATTAGTGTCTCGTTTTTTAAATTAATTTGCAAATTTATATAAATGTACACTATTTACTATATATTATATATACCAATGTTGTAACTTTTTTTGTGTAATGACATTTTCAAATAAAGTTAGATATATATACCCACATACCAAAAGAATAGGGGTGGTAGGAGAAGAAAATATCAAAGTGTTCAGTGAGGATCCACAAGGTCTTCTCTGAGTACTCTTTATTTTCTTCTCCGAGGCTATGGGTCCCTACACTTGCACCAGAGGTGGTACCCTTATATATATATAATATATATTTATTATTTTGAACTATATTCACCTCCAACCAGCATGAAGGATTACAGTAGAATATACTAAATATATTTGTTAGGATGGAAAAATTGTGTCGTGAGGGAGTATCTGAATCTGTATCTTTTGTGTATTTGGCGTAATTTACGTTGACAACACAGCTTCGCAGGTTACGTGGTCTAGTGTAGTTTGTGGGAGGAGACCTCTGATAGTATCCGCTAGTAAGACCATTTGTACCTTGCATGACATTACACCTTAAAACATTGGAAGGTAAGGGAACTATCAGGGGGGAAAGCTCCAAGCCATTACGACTATATAGCACTTGGAAGGGGGGGTCAGGATAAGGATTTGGGATGGGACGGGAGGGAGGAGGGGGGGGGAGGAATGGTGTCCAACCACTTGGACGGTCGGGGATTGAACGCCGACCTATGCATGACGCGAGACCGCCATTCTACCGTCCACCACAAGTGATTGGACATTAAAACATTGGAGTCTTTGCCTATTTGTTAGCCATATATATCCAGGATATCTGGCTAACATTGGATATGGTCATATGGATATATGACTAGTCATCTCAAGATAACCTGAAGATAACCAAGATAACATACATCCTGCTTGATCAGAGGCTATCGCGCCGTGAGGCAAGAGTACCAGAGGAGCCACTTCTAGGCAGACCAGGGGTCAGATTCACGAAAGAACTTACGCAAACACTTACGAACCTGTACATCTTTTCTCAATCTTTGGCGGCTTTGTTTCCAATTATTAAACAGTTAATGAGCTCTGAATCACCAGGAAGCTGTTTATAACAATAACAACAGTTGAATGGGAAGTTTTCAGGCCTGTAAACTGTTTAATAAATGTAACGAAAGACGTCAAACATTGAGGAAAGATGTACACGTTCGTAAGTGCTTGCGTAAGTGCTTTCATGAATCTGGCCCCAGACCGGTGGAAGATGTTAAGCAAGACGGAAACATGTGGAACATAAGAGTGATGTCCCGTGTGACACGCAGTTGCACCAATTGCGACAGTTACCGATGCAACACACTGTCAACAACACATTTTCTGTGATGTACAAGTCAGGGGGAGAATCGGAAGAAGTAACAGAAGATGGAGAAACGGTGACGTTTCGGTCTGCCGTGGACCATTATCAAACCGTGTGTGGCTTGATATTGGTCCAGGACGGACCGAAACGTCGTCGTTTTCTCCTCATCTTCTGATGTGTGATTTGGTCATCCTATTTTCAGTCACATTGTGACTCCCTCGTCTGTAACGTGGAGTGTTTACAATGTAGTCCATTCTTCCTGCTAGACATTAAATTAGGCATTTCAGCTCTTGTGATGTTCCAGGTGTGGTAGGAGAAGCCGTACCTGTGAGCTAATAAACGTTTGTCTCATCCACAGGTAAACTGTGTGTAGATTGGTGTGTGAGGTGAGAAACGACCTGTTCAAGGCCACACACCTGACTGCAGCTGTCGACAGTTACCGTGTGACCGTGTGTGTGATGCTGAAGAAACAGGCTAAGTGTCGAGGAATATCCATAAACATGAATTAGAAAGATGTGAGAGCTTATTGGAGCTGACTGATTCATTTACACAACTGCCTAAACTTGTACTCGACTAATTAAGGTGAGCAGTATTAATATATATATATATATATATATATATATATATATATATATATATATATATATATATATATATATATATATAAATATATATATATATATATATATATATATATATATATATATATATATATATATATATATATATATATATATATATATGACTGAAAACTCACACCCCAGAAGTGACTCGAACCCATCCTCCCAGGAGCAACGCAACTGGTAACTACAGGACGCCTTAATCTGCTTAATCCTGTCAAGCCTTAATCCTTAATCCTTAATCAAGCCTTAATAATAATCCTTAATCCTATTCGAGTCACTTCTGGGGTGTGAGTTTTCAGTCGCATATAGTCCTGGGGACCATTCAGGCTTGTTCGCATATATATATATATATATATATATATATATATATATATATATATATATATATATATATATATATATATATATATATATTGGAAGGCAAATTGAGCAGACTTCTTTAGGCAGGCAGCAATAATAATCTCATAACATTATATTCCAATATCAATCCTAGTAGAGTATTTTTTGCCCCAATTGCCTGTATTTTCGCCATCCCTCTAACTAATTCTGTGATGGGCTAAGTGAGATTGTTGTTATTAAAAATTAGTTATTAATTAATTAATTAATTATAAGGGCTTTCATGCTATTGAGTTTATTTCTGTATGACTTATTAATTGAATGATTATTGACAGATTCAATGTTCATTTTTATTCACGATTGTGTGTAATTATTAATATGTCAGTAATACAGATCAGTGTATGACCCATACACTGAGTTATACAGCGATGCCAAGCTACTGAAGAGCTTAGCAGCTTCTGCCAATATAGATAAATCATCAATGTTACCGTATTATGCAATCTATTTTTTTTAGGGATATTCCGAGGCGGGCCCTAAGCCGGTTCGCCGAGCGGACAGCACACTGGACTTGTGATCCTGTGATCCTGGGTTCGATCCCAGGCGCCTGCGAGAAACAATGGGCAGAGTTTCTTTTACCCTATGCCCCTGTTACCTAGCAGTAAAATAGGTACCTGGGTGTTAGTCAGCTGTCACGGGCTGCTTCCTGCGGGTGGAGGCCTGGTCGAGGGGACACTAAAAGCCCCGAAATCATCTCAAGAAGCCTCTGGCTGGCCCACTTAAGTGTTACTTGTTTCTTGTTTCTGTTTTACTTAGACGGAGTTTGAATATTTATGAGTCGAATATGCAATCAAAAATGCAATTTTCTGGAATGTAAATGTGTATATATGGATATTAAAATTTTGTGTAGTGTTTTGACTTTATTGACATGTGCAATGTGCAACCTGTCCCCAGGCTAGGCTCGTCCAAGCGGCGGCTGAATCCAAAGACACATTCGTCATTTTTTTGCGTATTCAAAATGTATATTTTCTCAAATATATGAAAGGTAATATTTGGAGAAAAAGGAAAAATATAAGGTAACATTATTACATATTAGAATGTGTTGAATAGTTAGGCCTAACTTAGGGGGCTAGGTTCTGTTGGCCATTATTGGTATTTGCATTGTACATGGACGAAGCATTTAGCAACCCGTCCTCACACTAGGCTGGTTAAAGCAGCGGCCGTTCTCCCCAGACGCATTCATCAATTTTAACATGCTGTGTATTAAAAATTAGTTTGTTCTCGTATATAAATCAATATTCTTATACAGTACATAGAAATTCTACGTATAGTTAGGCGTAGGTTAGGTTAGGTGTTTAGGTTCTGTTGGCGATTAGTTGGATTTGTTGTACGTGGGTGAAGCATTTACAGCGTTGTGGTTCGAACAAAAGTCGTCAGTTAAGCACTTGTTCCCGAAGTGTTCGAACGTCATCATTTGTGAGAGTCGAGTGAATATGCAACATATTCTCGTATATAATAAACATTATCTTATATTGCAGAAAATTTAAATTTTGAATACGCAGGACGTTAAAAATTGATGACTCCGCGCGGAGAAGCCTAGCCTAAGGACGGGTAGCACAATTTAAAGGAAAACTAGGCTTTCTTCCCTTTATAAATGTATATTTATGATAATCTTAAAAAGCATATTATTTATTTACTTTAAGCTATGATAGGAATTGGGGTTCGAAGGTCGAGTAATGGATGTTATAATGATATATCCTGAATAATGTGGTGTTGGTTGGGGGTGCGGCGTGCCGCTAGGGGGCACTGCCCTCAGTGTGTTGTTGACTCTGGTGGTGGAGGTCGCGGCGGCCGTGTCCGCGAGATTAAAGAAAATACGCGGTCTCGCTGAACTGTGAGGATGGGGGAAGATGCTGATATTTGTCTCTGAGAGAGAGGGTTATTGTGTTTGCAGGTTGTGTGGGGGAGAGAGCGAGAGGCTGTGTACATGAAGCGTTGGGAAGTGCCTGGTTTTGCCACTTGCGAGGACTGCTACTGGTGTGGATTGCCACTTGCGAGGACTGCCACTGGTGTGGATTGCCACTTGCCAGGACTGCCACTGGTGTGGATTGCCACTTTCGAGGACTGCCACTGGTGTGGATTGCCACTTGCGAGGACTGCCACTGGTGTGGATTGCCACTTGCGAGGACTGCCACTGGTGTGGATTGCCACTTGCGAGGACTGCTACTGGTGTGGATTGCCACTTGCCAGGACTGCCACTGGTGTGGAATGCCACTTGCCAGGACTGCTACTGGTGTGGATTGCCACTTGCGAGGACTGTCTGCCTCTGCCGTACTTTCCAACGGACCAACCGCCATGAGGATAAGGTAAGACACGCCGCCTGCTGTCTCCTCTCATTTCATAAAGTTGTAAAAATATTCTGTTGGAGTTTCTTGGAACAGTAAGGGTGAAACTTTACACACGAGTCCATGAACAGTTTGGTGGGGTTTATACATTGTCTCTGTGTATTCCCACCGGCATTCTATGTTTACCAAGAGCCTTCGGTCACAGGGGTAAGAGAGGGGGCTCTGAAGGTGCGCATCATTTGACTAACTGAACGAGTCAGGTAAACAAACGCCTCTCCCCCTAGTGCCCGGCAGCGAACGCTGGCCACCGACCATCAGGAAACACAAACATCCACAGCGACTATCTCGCACAACCCAGAGTTATCTTAAAATTAATCAGCTCTTGTTTCTTTCATTATATATAAGAATATTTCTTGGGTGTAACATTATTAAGCTGTGTTTTTGTCATGTAAACATTTCGTTTTCTTGCTTTTGTTGCTTATGGTGAGGAAGAAAGCTTGTTTATGAGGTAGAGGCGGAGACGACTTCTGACTCCTGATAGTAGCTCATGCCTTACCCTTCAAGTTTGTCCTTGAACACGACCCGCTAATAGGTTTACAACCAGGTCCCCATTTACAGCTGGGCGCATATTTGAGCATTGGTGGGCAGATGATCCATCCTGACCAAGGCTTAAACACCACCTGACGCAAAGAAATTGCCCGTGGAAATAGCATATACTCCCGCCCATTATAGAGTCTGAAGATGGCTCTTAAACTTCAACAAGAATAAGTGCCATATCACGAGGCTAGTCGTGGCATCCGGGTCAGGGCGGGAGAACTCATCACACACAAAGATCATTGTGTTGTGGGGGCGGAAATAGATCTTATTAGTTAACTTTTCATCCATAAATTATGCATTAAAATGTGTATATACATTCACATTTTTTAGCCACACACAGAAACTATTTGGATTGAATTAAACGAAAAAGCTAATAATATTATAATAGGAGTAATATATAGGCCACCAAATTTAGACAGAATGGAAGCAAAGCATCTATGGGATGAAATATCTAGAGCATCTAGATCTAACAGTATTTATGTCATGGGTGACTTTAATTTTAGCGGAATAAACTGGTTGAACAAAACAGGGAATAGTGAAGCAGAAGATTTTCTAGAATTAATTGACGATTGCTTTCTTACGCAACACATTAAGGAACCAACACGGGAAAATAATATTTTAGATTTAGTGTTAACTAACAGGGAAACGCAAATTAATGACATCGAAATAGGGAGTGAGCTAGGGAGCAGTGATCACAAAGAAATCAGATTTAGCATAGAATGGAATAGACCAGTAGGAGAAAATTCTGTTAAAGTGCCAGATTTTCGAAAAGCTGATTTTAATAGCCTAAGAAATTTTTTGGGTCAAATTGATTGGAAAGGCTTGGGTATGGGGTGTGCGCCGGTCTTGGAGCGAGACATGAACCCAGCGATAGGTGACTTAAATGGGGATTTCGATGTGGATTCAATATATAACTTATTTAAGAATATTCTAAACAAAGCACAGGAACGCAGTATACCATACAAATTGAATAGATCGTATACTAATGACCCAAAGTGGATAACAAAGAATTTGAAGAACCTTATAGGTAAAAAGAGAGCTTGGTACAAAAGGATTAAAAATGGGGAGGTCACTTTAGAACAGGAATTCGTACAACTGGTTAGAAATGTTAAAAAAGAGATAAGGAAAGCAAAAAGAAACTATGAAGTTCGCATAGCAGGGCAAGCAAAGACAAATCCTAAAGGGTTTTTTCAGTTATATCGTACTAAGACTAGGGAAAGGATAGGTCCATTAAAAACTGAGACAGGTCAAATAACAGATAGTGATGAAGAGATGAGTAGTATTTTTAATAAATATTTTGTATCTGTATTTACTAAAGAGGAACTTAACAATATGCCTTCAGCCGAACAAGTCTATGTGGGTGGGGACGAGGACAGGTTGACGAGTTTAGCAGTTACCAGGGAGGATGTTCTTAAACAAATAGTAAAACTCAAACCAAACAAATCCCCAGGGCCGGATGAAGTGTTTGCTAGGGTGCTTAAAGAATGCAAAGAGGAGCTTTGTGACCCACTGTCAACCATATTTAATAAATCAATAGAGTCAGGCAGAGTGCCAGAGTTTTGGAAAGTTGCTAATGTGATACCAGTTTTTAAGAAAGGAGATAGATCACTTGCGTCTAACTATCGACCAATTAGCCTAACGTCTATTGTGGGAAAGTTACTCGAATCTATAATAGCAAATAAAATTCGTCTTCATCTTGAAAAACATAAATTAATAATTGAGTCGCAACATGGTTTTATAAATGGCCGTTCATGTTTAACAAATTTGTTATCTTTTTATTCTAGCATTGTTGAGGCAGTTGATAGTGGTAAGGATTGCGATGTTGTATACCTTGACTTTAGCAAAGCTTTTGATACAGTGCCACATGAAAGACTGATTAAAAAAATAGAGTCTCATGGTATTGGGGGTGCTATATTAAGCTGGATTAGGGCATGGCTATACCAAAGGAAACAGAGAGTTAGTATAAATGGAATCAAGTCAGAGTGGGAAAATGTTGTAAGTGGAGTGCCTCAAGGCTCTGTCCTGGGACCTCTGTTGTTTATAATATATATAAATGATTTAGATTCAGGTTTGAGTAGCAACATTTGCAAATTTGCCGATGATACGAAAATCGGTAGGGAAATTAATTCGGAGGAGGACTCACTATCACTTCAAGTTGATCTAGATAGGGTTTTGAAATGGTCAAAGGATTGGCAGATGCAGTTTAATGCTGATAAATGTAAAGTTCTGAGGTTAGGTAATGATGATAGAGTTACAAGATACGAGCTAGATGGTGTTGTGATTGCGAAGTCGGATTGCGAAAGGGATCTGGGTGTTATGATTAGTAAGAATTTAAAACAAAAGGATCAATGCATAAATGTTCGTAATAAGGCAAATCGGACACTTGGATTTATTAATCGCAGCGTTAGTAACAAGACACCTGGTGTGGTTCTCAAGCTATATCTTGCTCTAGTTAGGCCCCATTTAGATTATGCAGTTCAGTTTTGGTCGCCATATTATAGAATGGATATAAATTCACTTGAACGTGTCCAGCGTAGGATGACTAAGTTAATTCCCCAAATTAGAAATCTTTCATATGAAGAAAGATTAACAAAGCTTAAGTTGCATTCACTGGAAAGGCGAAGAGTTAGGGGCGACATGATAGAGGTTTACAAGTGGGTGAATGGACATAACAAGGGGGATATTAATAGGGTATTAAAAGTATCAACACAGGACAGAACACGAAACAATGGGTATAAATTGGATAAGTTTAGATTTAGGAAAGACTTGGGTAAATACTGGTTCAGTAACAGGGTTGTAGATTTGTGGAACCAATTGCCGCGTAACGTGGTGGAGGTGGGGTCCCTCGATTGTTTCAAGCGCGGGTTGGACAAGTATATGAGTGGGATTGGGTGGTTATAGAATAGGAGCTGCCTCGTATGGGCCAATAGGCCTTCTGCAGTTACCTTTGTTCTTATTCCGCAAGTACACTACATAATTTTATTAACACAAAATCCCGCCCTCAGAAGTTTCATAACTATACACAGCTTTTTAAATAATGAGTTTTGTTGTAAAGGAACTTTACGTCATTGTTAACTTAAGTCAAATTAGTTTTGTTTAACTTAACAACTTGTTTAACTTGTTTAACTTTAACTTTGTACAACTTAACATAAAAGCCTAACTACTTGCGTGTCGTTGTTTTGAGTTGACCAGTTATATTATTGGGTCTTAAATGTTCATATTTTTTTAAATGATTTCTTGCCCTGGTTTCCACTAATATAAATCCAATACAACCACCCCTAATTTATTTCTTGGGGCAAAGGGGGGGGGGCAAGCAGCCATATTTAGTGTTTTCTCCCCCCCCCCCCTCTGTTGTGTTTGGATTGCTTTGCCCCCCCCCCTCAATATCTCTTGACCCCTGCCCCCCCCCCAATATCTATTGACCCCTGCCCCCCCCAATATCTATTGACCCCTGCCCCCCCCCAATATCTATTGACCCCTGCCCCCCCAATATCTATTGACCCCTGCCCCCCCAATATCTATTGACCCCTGCCCCCCCAATATCTATTGACCCCTGCCCCCCCCCCAATATCTATTGACCCCTGCCCCCCCAATATCTATTGACCCCTGCCCCCCCCAATATCTATTGATCCCTGCCCCCCCCCCAATATCTATTGACCCCTGCCCCCCCCCAATATCTATTGACCCCTGCCCCCCCCAATATCTATTGACCCTTGCCCCCCCCAATATCTATTGATCCCTGCCCCCCCCAATATCTATTGACCCCTGCCCCCCCCCCAATATCTATTGACCCCTGCTCCCCCCAATATCTATTGACCCTTGCCCCCCCCAATATCTATTGACCCCTGCCCCCCCCCCATATCTCTTGACCTCTTCTCCCCCCCAATATCTCTTGACCCCTGCTCCCCCCCTCCCAATATCTCTTGACCCCTGCTCCCCCCCCCCCCCCCCAATATTCTTTGCGCACTCTCAAAATTTGTTATGATGTGTGATGTTAGTGCTATCGGTCTATAATATTTTGCCTCTGCCTTATTTCCTCCTTTATGGAGTGGCGCTATCTCTTGTTTTAGTATGTCAGGAATAACGCCAGTATCTAGGCTTTGTCTCCAAAGAATGTGAAGGGCCTGCAATAGTTTTTTTTTTTACAGTTCTTGATTAATATTGAGTTCCAAGAATCCGGGCCTGGTGCAGAGTGCATAGACATACTGTCTATGGCTTCTTCAAAATCCAGTGGGGATAGGGCGACGTCTGATATATGATTTGATGTTGGTATCGTATCCATGAAAAATTCATTTGGGTTATCAATCTTCAGTGTGCTTAGCTGCTCGCTGAAAACAGAGTCGTACTGATTCTTAAGTATTTCGCTCATGTCTTTGTTGTCATTTGTGAGAGTTCCATCTCCCTTTCGTAGGGGCCCGATACTA